TTACAACAGAAAGAAAATTGCCTGTTCCTGTGCAGGTCTTCATGAAGACATTTGGAGAGTTGAGGTAAAACTCCACATATCCTTAGCATTAGCACTGTGTGTAAGTGAAGAGAGATTAAAGATGCACAGTTCCATGAAGTTTGACCAAATTTGGCATTACTTTAATGCCTTTTGATGACTTTAAGTACAGAAGTGTACTGACATAAGTGTGTCCATTTGTGTTCTTTACATGAAGTGAACAAGGTAAAGGCATTTTTGGAAAGTTGTTTACTGCTGGATTTTGATATTCACTGTTTCTTACATAAATTTAATTTTGGTTTGAATTGGTCTAGTGAAGTTCAAATCAAACATTGCTGGTTAAAAAGAACAGATACAGTAGTTTAAATAATTCCTGACTGTACATTGTATGTATTTATATGTGCTGTAAGTGAATGTCATGGCAAGTGTATGCATAATAATGAACGTTTGTATGTGTACTTGAGTGGAATACACACATACTTAGTTATGAGTGAAAAGTTTGGATGGAGAAACTTCTTTAAAAATAACCCACATGGGTGACTGAGGAGGTGGAACGATAACATTAAGACCAATCTTGGGGAACGGGATTCTTAAGTCAATTGTGAAAAAAACATGGAATTGGTTGTCCCCCTAAATATAAGTAATATTTTTGGTCTGCAAAGGTAAGTAATTAAGTTTCATTATCGCCCTCTGCTGTTTAGAAAATATTGCCTTTAGTCTGATGTGTTCACTGGTAAACCTTGATGTATTTTGAGCAGTCCTGTTCCCATTTTCAGTCTACTGCTTCAAGATCTGTTTTAATCCTAGTCTTCCTATAGGTTTTATCGCCATAATTCAGAACACCTCATTTCACTATCTGAAATGCATATTGATTTTGTATGTTGATTTCACTGATGTGACGAGTTGATGCAGCAGTAGTGCTGTGTAATTTGGCCACGCAGATGGTACACATTCTACAGCTAGCAGTTAGCTTCCAGACAATTTGTATAAAAATAGTCTGAAGGTGACTGTTATGTTGAAACATGTTGTTATAACACTGTAAGATAGTATTTCTTGTTTTATATATAATATGTGCACTCACAGCTAGATGCTTATATTATGTGATAAATAATGTGATAATAATATTACATTTTTCTCAGAAATGAAGTGTTATGATGTAAAAAGTTTGCATGAAACATGAAATATATACATCATTAAGATTTGCAGAGTTTGAAACTTTATTGAGTATGATGAATATTTAATAAAATATACCAAAAATGATTCTGACTTGTGTATGTTGTGGGGCAGTAGTGTAATTAGCTGTGCAGTAATAAGTTTGTGTCCATGGTAAGTGAGTGTCTGGAGTATGGGGTACGCAGGATAGAAAAGAATGCATTTGTAGCGAAGTACCATTTTATCACTTCAATCATGAATTTTGTAGGGTTAGGTTGTTGAGACTTGGTTATGTGAATCCTGAGATGGTCTTGGTCTCTTCATAGCTGGTTTGGTCGTAACAAGTCTTGGCCTGGTTAATGAATGCTAATCAAAGTTTCCATAATTTTCCTTGGTCTCTGCAGTTGAATACTTTGAAAGAGACCATGACTGTCTCATTACAAATCTCTACCTGCTCACCATCTTCTGCCCACATTAATTGCAATTAAGTTGAGCAGCTGAAACAGTGTTAAATGAATCACACAGTCTTCCAGCAAATGCTGATAAATGTTATTTTCTCTGCTATGTGCTGACATACTAAAATGCAATGCATGAAGTATACTTGATTGCTTGATCAGATAGTGTCTTGGTTAAAATAGACCATGACTGCTTTTCCAGTTTCAAAAAATCCTAGTTGCCATAGCAGCAGGTGCGCTTCCTGCAGACCATATTGCTGAAGTGTGTAAGACTGGAGAAATTCAGTGATATACCTTGGGATTGTGAGAGCAGTCACTTTCCAGTGTTCCACAACAGTATTGATAACTGTATGAGTTTTTCTGATTCAGCATTATGTGACTTACCAGAAATTTTTAACATGTTGGAGGAAGCCTCTGTCTCCATCTTCCAGAAACATCTAGCTTGAAGATGGAGTCAGAAGTTAACTTTAAATGGAAATTTCTCCTAGTGTCTGTAGTGAAAACCCAAAAACTTCGTAATTCTTGAATTCATCATTTCACAGAACGTTTGTATTACTGTATGTTAGTAATTATTCTATTAATTTTTATATTATTTTACACTGAGTGGTAACCATTGTTTTAGAATGATCACTAGTATGCTGTTTGTTGACTGTTCTTTAAAAGTACCTATAAATTCTATTTAATGTACTTGTTGAAGGATGTCAGTGAGAGAGGTTGCCATTTGAAGTGGAACTGAGTGTTGTGTTGTGTGTTCCATGTATCTTGTCTGAATATTTCGCCGTTTTTGGGAGCTGCCTTTGGATAAATAAAACACAAAAGTAAGAAATTGAAAGTAACTTCTTGTGTTACTGGCTCCTTACCTCCACTGTTTAGTTCCCTAACTGTTAGTTGCTTATGTTTTGATCCTTTTACTTCCATTTCCTCAAGTGGTAATGCTATTAAATTATTTGGGGGAGAATGCAAGGTACAGATATTTAGGCACAGAGTACTTTGGGGAAATATTTGGGCATATGAATATTGAAGTGAGTAATTTTTGATGTTATGAAGTGAGGATCTATGTGATTCATACACCTTAGGATAATGTAATGAAATGTGATCGGCTGTATATGAAGCTAGAATGGGGGAGAAAGAAATGCGTACAGAATTTTAGTGGTTGAATCTTGGAAATAGCAATTTGAAGTATCACAAAGGACATGGAAGGGTAACATTAAGATGAATCTTATGTGAATAGAGTATGAGGATGGGAGATGGATGCAGCGGGCTGAGGATTGTGTCCTATTGAATGCTTTGATATTAGCTGTGTTGAACATTCAGATTATACTACCAGAGAATTGACATAGCTTCTTTATATTTAGCAGGTAGCACGTATGAACCTTAGCAATCCTGATTTAGGATTTTTGTAATTTTCTTTTCTCCATCCAGGCAAATGCTGGAGTCATACTTCAAAGTTCATTAAGCATCTTATCATGTCACATTGTGCTAAATAACATCTGTAGTTGACATAGTATAAGCCGTTTCCATCTGAAATTTCAGTTTTATCAAGACTACTTTTTTGTCACTAAACACATTATAATGCAGTAAATTAAAATAAATTGTATCTTATTTAATGGCTTATTGGACGTGGTTGAGAGGTCAACACTCGTGCTTCTTGGTTCAGAGTTCCCAGAGTTGATATTCAGTTTGGATACTGGCTATCCTCGCAGAGTGTTTTTATAGTTGTCCTCAGTACCTCCTGCCAGATGCTGAGAACTTATATAATAGTCTGTTACTACTTCCTTCTGAATTTATTACTCATGTTTATACTATTATTTGATTCTGCTATTGGGAGGGTCAATTAATGACCTAAGCAGCGAACAAGGAACAGAAGACAGTTCAGTTAAGTGGGACAGTAGAGTGTTAATGTGATGGTGTCAGGGTACACTAGGCATTTTATTATACAAGTTGAGGCACTGTGTCCCAACTTGGAGTCACACAGGGTAGTTCTGAATATCACTTGTGTTGCTAGTATAAAAGTTCTTCTGTTTCTCCTTACATTGTGTTGTGTGGATTGAATCTGAATAGAAATCAGGTTTCTCATCTTTTTCCCATTCTTAGATGATGACATCATCTTGTGTTGGGCTGATTTGCTGACATTCCAGATGTTCCTCTGTACACCTTCAAGGCAGTGTGACTAAACAGTGGTGTGGAACAGTAAATGTTGGCACCTCGTGACAGTTCAATAACTTTTGCTTAAAACCAGAGAGCTAGGTTCTCCAAAATGTATATAACGCAACACATCTCAGCATGGTGTCGTTGCCCAAGGGTATAACCCAACGCATCTCAGCATGGTGTCGTTGCCCAAGGATGGAAGAAAGAGAAACCTCTCTTCTTTTCCTTTCAGTTTTAATGCCATTACTTTCACATCATCTGCTTTTGCACATATAGCCTACCTTTTTCTACCATCATATTTTCACTTTTATTTTCATTTCTGTTGCCATTTGGGCAGTTTAAATATAAAGGTTTTCAACAATTTCCTACCAAGACTGTATTTACTGTTTAGTCTTAGTATTAACATCAGTGGCTCATGAAAGCAAAATATAAATTCGGCATAAGTTGTGTGTAGCCATGAAGAAAACCTGATCGGCAGAAGTGTTGGGATTGATGGGATCTGTGCACTTGTAGTTCTCTAAGTTGTAGGACTTACAAACAGGAGTACATTAGGTGAGCCAGCAGTAGACCTGGAAGCTACTATTGTGAGTGGTTCTGCTGCTAGCAGGTTAGGAATATTATCTTCTGCTTTAGATTTTACAGTGAGAATGTGTTGATATCAGACACATGTTTAATATAGGATTACAGTGCTGAAGCATGCTCAAAATTATAATTACATGACAGTACCTGGCTTCCACATCTTTTCTTGGCTCACCTGTTGTAGGTACAGTAACTGCAGTATTGTGCTTCAGTTTATTTTATAACTGATAACGTGAAACAATACAATTATGACATAAACCAAGAAAGGTGGTTGTGGTAATCACTTGTGTTTGTCATATTTTAGGTAGATTTGTGTTATAAGTGATATTAAGTATGTTCTGAAGAACATGGCAAAGTTTTGTTCGCATGTTATGGCTGGAGAGTTTATGAGGTTGTAGGTTGTTTTAATTTAGAGATCAAAAACAGTTGGTAGAAGAGTGCACCTTAGAGACATAACACTATTGTGACACACACTGGTGGGAGTGGTCATGAGCTGGTCTCGTTTTCTGAACTAAATGAAGAATAATAAGTATAGTTGGGAATGAGAGTGGTTTGTCCCTTTTCAGGTATTCTTTATGCTTTCTTTCCAATGTACTGGTTAGTCTACTTGTGATGTTCCTTCTAAGCAAAGTGGTGTTATCCTTGCAGGTTTGGTCTGCCACTCCCAGGAAGCCGTGACATGCACCATCGCACCCTGGAGCCATTACTTCCACACCCACCTGGTGTGACAACACAAAATTTTCGTCGCTATGAACACTTTGATATGGCACCACCAGGAACAGGTCCTGATATCCCTGGTATTGGATCATCATTTGAGAAGCCTCGCTATGAACGCAACACCTATGAGAATCGGCCACTACCTGGTGATGACTTTCTCACTCCACCTGGTGTTGACCACCGCTACAGGGATCGTGACAGGGATGTTCCTGGAAGCAGGGAGAGAGATATTGGGCCACCAGGTGTTAGGGACAGAGACATTTGCCCTTCGGGTATCAGGGATAGGGATGTTGGAATTAGGGATCGTGACATGGGAATGCCAAGCTTGCGTGACCGGGACAGGGATATTGGTCCTCCTGGAGTCAGGGACAGAGACTTGGGTATTCCCTTGTGGGACAACAGAGACAGAGGAAGCAGGGATGACATGCCTCCTAGCAGGGATGGCTTGATTGGCAGGGACCGTGACATGGGTCTGTCTGATAGATCAAGGGAAAAAGACAGAGACAGGGACCGAGATGTTAGAGAAAGAGATGGAGATCGGGACAGAGGCAGAGGAGATTATTATGATGCCGATCATCGGCGGTCTTATGACAAGAGTTATGGCAGTTACAACTCTCCAGATGTGAAGAAGCGTAAACAGTCTCTGTCTCCAGGACCAGGCCGGCATGAGCGGTACTCCAGCAGTGAACGCCATCACCGGCGGGGTGGTGACAGACGCAAGAACTCGGGCACTGTCCAGGTGCAACAAGGGGGCAAGGAGAACAGGCACATGAGCCAGCAGCAGCCTGTGGAGACTGTGGTGGATGCAGCAGGTGGTCAACGGGAGCGAGACAAGGACACCCAGAAGCGTGAGAGGGTCCTGGTTGAAGTTCGTAAAGAGCCATCTGTGGATCGCCTGAAGAAGGATGACAAGGGAAAGAAGGAAGAAGACAAGAAGAGTAAGGATAAGAAGAAAAAGAAAAAGGAGAAGGAGCCAGAGGGAGAGAAGTTAAAGAAGAAAAGACGCAAAGAAAAAAAAGAGGGCAAAAAGGAAGGGCAGGAGCCTCAGGAGAAAATTAAGATTGTGGTGAAAGGTGCAGAGAGAAAGGGGCATCACAAAGAGAAAGAGGGAGAGGAGAAAGCAGAAACAGAGGAAGATAATAAAGTGGAAGAGAAACCAGCTGCAACAAGTGTGCCTGTGCAGCAGGAGAAGAAAGTGGTGATTCTCACATCTGGCACCATTGTGGAAAAGGTAAAGGGAACTACCTTGAGGACCTTTGATGCACCCCCCACAGAGAGCATAGTTGATGGATTGTATGGGGATATGGAGGACACTCGCATTGATGACAATGTGATTGCCAGCTATGGCAAAGTGATAGCAGAAGAGGCACAAGAAAAGAAGGTTGAATCTGACACTGCAGACAAAGGAGCAGAAGTGGGCCCAGAACTGGGGGATGGAGTTGAACTTAGGGTTAAGGCTGACACTGGCTCTGACTCTGAAGGTGCAGTCAAGTCTGTGACTCTGGACCCAGCAAAGGCCAATGTGATGCTGGCACCGTTGCCAGAGCTGTCAAAGTGGGAACTAGAAGAAGAGTTCACACCAGGATCTTCATTTGAAAAGAAAGAAGGTGAGGATGGGATTGGTGGGGGCTCACAGACAGATAAAACTGCAGGAAAGATAGTGACCTCAGAGGTGCTCAAACGGGCTGAAAATGCCATCTTCCAAAAAGCTATCAATGCTATACGTCCAATTGAACCTCCCAAGAAGATATCAGGTGACAGGAAGGTGTACACAAGCTCAGAAAAGAGAGCTCCTGTTGAAGTGGTGGTAGCAGAGACCGTTGAAACTCGTAAAGTACCCGAGAAGGACACTCGTGAGGCAAGAAAGACTGTGAACTCAATCCAGATCACAATACCTACAGGTGGACATGTGGAAAGGTCTGTGGAGATTGCTTCATTGGAGTCAAGTTCACAGCCAGTCACCAAAGGTAAGGGAAAGTTGGACAGGTCAAAGTTCAGCAGCCAGTGGGGTGAGGGCACAGACAGCACCTCTCCGCATCGGGTTCCAGCCAAGGAGAGGTTGGGAGCTCGGGTTGATGGAGATGGGGACAGGAAGAAGGAGGACAACAAAGAGAGCAAGCGGCGTCGCAGTCGAAGTGAAAGTAGAGAGCGCAAGCATGCAGCAGCCAAGAAGGGATTGAAGAGTGCTATTGAGAAGAAACACACCATCTCTAGATCACACTCCAGGTCTCCACACCACAGGAAGGAAAGTAAGTATGCGGAAGAGGCACGACGGTATGATGGGGCTGGAGACAGGAGGTATTTGTCAGGAGACTCAAGGAGCAAACGAGGGGATCGTGAAGGGCGATATGCTGATGTGGACAGGGATAGGAGACCACTAGATCGTGGTGCTGGAGGGGACAGTCGTAGACGGGAGCATAGTGAGAGCAAGAAGTGGGATGAATCCAGGGAGAAGAAGGAAATTATTAAAAGTCCAGAGAGGAGGACAGAACGCAGTGTCAGTCATGAAGCTAAGGTTGAGAAAACTAGATCCAAACTCAAGGAAGAGAGAGAGAAATCTATGGAGAGAGGAAAAGCAAGACATAAAGCAAAGAAGAAGACTAAGTACAGGTCAGAAAGCAGGAATCGCAAGAAGTCGGTTTCTGATAGAGAGTCTAAACGAAGCAAGAAGAAGGACAAGAAACACAAGAAAGAGAAAGGGAAGAAACATAAGCAGAGAGATGAAAAGAAAGAAGGTGAAAATGGCAAGGAGGATGAGGAAGCTGAAAAGAGTGAGGCACTGAAGGAAGTGAAAGCAGGTACATCCAATGATGCAGCACCTGGAGTAAACAGAGACAATGGAAAAATCATGGAGGCATTGGAAACTGCAGGAGACCAGAGCAAAGACAAACCCAGGAAAGGTGGCCGGAGGAATCCACGTCTGGCAAATGATCGCAAAAAGTCTACTTTAGATGAGGCAAGTTTTGAGCCAGATTATGATGCTTCCTCATCTGTTGATACTGACGTAGATGATGGAGGTGATAATGAGAAGAAACTGGATGGATCTGGTGATAAGAAATCGGAATCAAATGTGTCCCCAGGGAAGAAGCGTGACAGGTCTGCAAGCATTGATCCTGCAGTGGCAGAACAGAAACGTCAGAAGTTGGATAAAGAGTCAGATAAATCAGAAAAAGCAACAACAGATGATGTTACTAAGAAGGAAAGTGGTAAGGCTGGTGCCACAAAGGGTAGTTCTACAAGAAAGCGCAACAGATCATTGAGTAGTTCTGACAGTGCAGATGATGATTCTTCAGATGAAGATGATGATGATAGCAGCTCTGGAAGTTCTAGTAGTTCAGATGATGATTCTTCTGATGATTCTTCAGTACATAGAAGACGGAAAAAGAAATCACATGATCGACGACATAAACGAAACAAGAAATCCTCAAGAAGGGCATCAAATTCAAGCAGTGACACTGAATCTGAGTCTGAGTCAGCATCAAGTAGTGACTCAGATGGAGGCAGAGGAAGGAAAGGAGGAGGGAGAGGCAGCAAGAAACACCGACACCGAAGTAAACTCAGCAAGAAGAAGAAGAAGTCATCAAAACATCGATAAATAAAAACTTGTCACTAGTCATAGTCATAGCATAAACAGGTTTCTGTGGTAGAACAACAGGATGGTGACATACATTGTACAAATTGATCTGCCATTCACTATGTTATTTCCTTTTCCTCCTAATAGACAGTTCTGATATTAGTTTCAGGGATACAGAATGATGATGAAGACTTTTAAATATAATATTAAAATGTCAAGGAAATTATTTTGTCTGATTAGGAGGCTGTACCAACTCTGGTTTGGAGACAGCATTGGTAATATAACCATTTATAATAAGTAAGTGTATTTATGTCCAATGTTACTTTAAAGTAAGAACTGTGGTTTTAATGTTCCAGTCTCCCATTTTGTCTGAAAGAACAGAATTGTGGTTATATGGTAGTTGATAGGGTTTATAATGTCTGTGTAGTAGTAGTTTTGTGTTTGCTTCATATAGGTGTGCTTGGTATTAAAGTACTTTGGTTTCATTTCAGAATGAACTCTTACAGACACATATTGTCTTGTGTGTTCCTGCATAATATTATTCATCTTACTAAGAGAAATGAACTTATTCTGCTATGAACTAAAACAGGTTTTGAACATTTCTTTCTTCAAATGTTCATTTGTAAATAAGTGAATACAATAAATACAAATATGTTGCTATACATGAGGATGTATATAATTTATTGACTACCACAATCAAACCTGAGAAAGTCTAGAGATAGGGGGGACTTGCAGGACCTGCCACAGCAGCGTGATTCTCTAATGATGGTGCCAGGTGTTATATGCAGTATATACTAATTCCAAAAGGGACACTGGCAGAAATGGCCACTTTCCAGGACACATGGAAATTGCCTTTTAGAGTTTCTCTGGGGGGACAACTGATCTCATTTTAATGGCCTGCTTACATCTCTATATCCTGTTAGTTTTTTCAAGTTCAAGTTTTGAAAGTGTTGCTGTCCATTCTGTTCAAATCGTATAAACCTTTTGCCCTGTAATCATCAGTTTTTGATTTCTTGAATGGTTGTTTAGTTTTGCCTTGTTTTTAATTTTGTCAAATCAATACATTTCTTGACACTTTTTCAAACATTCACTTCCAGTTCTTTAATTTTATCATCATTTGTATTCATAACCCAAGTTTTACTTCCATATAAAATGGCTAATGCCATGACTAAATTTTCTCTTTTATTATCATTTTATGTCACACATGTTTTTGTTTTGTATTATTTTCTTTCACTTGTAGGGTGATTAATTTAGATAAAGGTACATGCAGTAAATGTGCATATTGCATTGTCTCTTGTGTTGGTGAATTGGAGGTTATTGATGGATCCTTTTCCCATGCTCCATGAATAAGTGTCAGTTACATGCAAGAAACTTAATCACCTTTAGGAACAATTATGTATATTGCAAGAACTGTATAACTCTGCATGTTTATTATGAAATTCATTCCTCAACCAGGCTCAATCTTATATAGTTATCCCATAAAAATATGATTTGAAGCCTGACTAGTAATCTGTAATCATACTTATAAAATTTCTAAGAGTTATTATTTATTATATCTAAGGTTTATGCAGTATGTTCTTAAATTCTACAGCACTTGCTTAAATCATGCTTCAATATGTAGAATATTTAAGCTTACATTTTGTCAAACATTTTAGATCAGCTCAACTCTGTATCAGGTTTTGTCAAGATCTGCTGTGGCCTGTAATGCCATGTAAAAAACTGTGAGCCAGCCAAACTTTTTGAGGTTGGCGGAGCATATGCAGTTACAAGACTGCATTGTATTTGCATGGTGTTTGGATTGTTGAGAAATTAATCACAATAAACAAGAAAAAGTTTATTTGATAGAATGTTGGATGCTTAACAGTGATTTAAAAGAATCATCAGTGTGCCTTATTGCTGTAATTCTTGCATTGCCTTCAGGATTTGGTAATTACTTCATTATCATTATTTGTTTGTTTGCTTGTTTTCATGGCTAAGTTTATGTGTCATACAAAATGATATGTAAAACAATGTGATTTATGAAATGTCTTAAGAATGGCATATAAAATTAAACTTATCTAAAAAATTATCAAAACAATAAAAATAATCTTTTCATATAAACCCACTAATTCCAAGAGAAGGAGCCGACTACAAACATGTGTAGTTGAAGAATCAATGCAGGAACATTAATAATGCACAGGAGGAAGGATTGTAGGTAAGGTTCTTAGAGAAGTATTGCAGAAATAAAAGTTTTAATGGTATGGATGTGTTATGCAATTGGACAAAACTGCAAAATTGAAAGTGAAGTCAGAATCACTTATTAGTTGCTTGAGAATATGCTGCAGTGGTAAATAAAAGGGAAACTGAACTACTGAGTAACCAAGGAGAGAATATGAGAGTACAAAACAGAGTGTAGCAGCTTTATAAATTTATAACCTTCTGAATTATAAGGTGACAGAGATAATAACAAACAGTAATCAAAAGCAAGACTAATATTCATGCCTTATATTATATTTATACTGAATTTATCATTCTGAGAGTAGCATTGAAATTAATTTTAAAAGAAAGATGGAAATTTTAGTATGATTGGCAAAGCCAGAAGAGAATAAAAATATTAATTTTTAAGCAGCATTTCTATTGTGAGGGCTTTAAAATGCCACAATAGAAAGAGGTGCCAGATGTGTTTGTCACAAGTGGATTGCTAAACCTGTTCTTGTTTCTCTCCAGGTAATGTTATTATATTAAAGGCAAAGTTCTCTCTTTATTAAAGCATGCAGATGGACTCTTGATTCAATCAAAACGTAAACACTGATAAAAATCATGAATTTTCCAAATACACATTACTGTGAGTTTAATCATTCATTATCATATATAAATTTCTTGTGATATGTCAATGGAGAATGCATGTAATGCATTTGAATTCCATGCTAATCTGAAGTTCAGTCATTGTGCTTCCTGTAACAAAATTTAACTCCTGCAAGCTTTTGCATGGGGTTTTGAGGGCTTACATTTGACAGAAATGCATAACTGACTGCATTGGGTTGAGGTAAAATGTGCCTTAGTAGCCTGTGTTTAACAGCACTGAAATGTTGAAATGCATAACAAATTCTGCTTTTATGTAAACTTGTTTGACAGATAGTGTTTTTGACAACTTGTGGAGCAAAAAATTATATCAGCTTGTCTAGGCAATATACGCTAACCCACATTCACATTACTGCACATAGCTTTGCTTTAAATAAGTAAGGTTAGAATTTTCCTAGGGAGATAACATTTGAATATGATTAACAATGAAAATAGAAGTCTAATTTCTAGTGTTTTTTGCGATCAGAATCCATGCAGGTTTTATAAAATGGGGAATAAAATAAAAGTAAAATTGATATGTAATGTATGTTTTGGTATGTATATATGTCCATGTATTGTATAATGTTTGTGTTTGTATGATGAATGGAGGTTACTTAAGTCCATACCAGGCAATCATCTAGTAAGGGTGTCTTGATGCCTGTTGCAGTACCTCTGTCATGCTTTAATTCTATTTTCCTGTGAAATTACTGAAAGTC